TGTGTACAATTACAAATATCACAGTCATGGTCCATCTCCTAATAGCAGCCAGATATATTGATCATGTAGATACCTAGTGCCTATAATCTCCACACATGCATCGGGTGTATTGCGATCGTTTTGCTTATTATGTACATTACACACTCTAAGGTTAGCGACTACAGCCATTCATGCAAATAACAAGTCTGCACCCTGAAGAATTTGACTCTACTTTTTGAGCTAAATTGCAAAACTGTTGCTGCAGTCTGATAGACCCAAATGGTTGCCTTCCACTTATTGACCAGAACTTGTTCTAGGCAAGAAAGATTACAAAGCAGTTTAAAGAGCAGATTCAAATGTACCATTAATGGCAGTCCCAACCCACCACGTAAGCTGGTGTGTATAGAATTTATCGGGATGCCACCCGATCAAAATTCGGATGCATATGTGGCATGGTAATTAAAGAACGGAGAGCAAGAAAAAAGATGAAACAATGTCACATGCAGGAAACTAGATCGGCGTGTGCATCAAGGCCCTGAATACTAGCCAAAGTAGCGTTGGAGGTGATTAGTTGTTTCTTACCCTAGATATTTTTCTAGATATCTTGACCTTTGTGTCGTCCACCCCTTTTCCATATCTGATCTTTAGGATTTTTGCCGTAGCTGATCCTTGCACATGCATAATAAAGGCATTTAATTTGTTTTCTCCACAAACACAGCCATGGGCACTATACATTGGAGAAGATTATGCCTAAATGGATATTTATTGCCCTCTTTCTTCTCTAGACACTACCTACGGACACTATGGGATGGGATTACCCTAAGAGATGGTTCTCCCTCTGCGAGGCTAGGAAACATTAACTCAGAAAATCATTAAAAACGAAAAAGAAAGGAAGCATGGTATGGCGAATGCATGCTATGTCAGCCTTAATGGACTGCTAGTCTACTTAGTGGCTTAATAGTGATAGAATTATTGAGAGGATGGGCTCTTGATATCACCGTTGAGGGGGACGACCATGACTCAGTTCTTCATGCCAGGTGCGTGCTGCTTATGGAAGAAGGCCGGAGACTGGAGTCTTGTGTAGTGCATCTCAAATCCCTCGTGCCTTCCATTCCGATAAGCTAGGCATCCATATGAACTGGATGTACAGTGCTTTGTTGTGGCCTCCTATTGTCGTGCATCCATCTCATGACTCTGACTAAAGAACTGCAGATTCCTTTGTCTGTGCCGTGTATTCATAGCTTACTCTTATCTGCAAGTGTAGAGCCTTCCACATATATAACAACAGGTATGTAGTTGCACTTGCTCCTGGGCTCCGCCTTTTAAATGCTAAATTGCTTTTATTTTTTAGAAAGTGGATTAAAACTCAGCCTCTACATCCAAAGTAGTTGTACACAACCACCTAAAATTGCATAACGAATGATGGTTTGTGTGGCTGTGTGCTCTGCAAAGCGGAGTTTGATCTGCTCAGAATCAAATAGGTGGGTGCTACATATTCAGCAAAAGAAATGTATGGTCAGCTATCAAAGAATTACAATGATAGTAAAATAGGCAACCAGCAAAAAAAAATCTATTTGATTTTCGAGAACTATATGAATGAAAAACATTGTCAGCTCTGAAGGACTTCAACAAACATGTTGAGTCTGAAGTAGAAGCTATTCAAATAGTTCAAATATTGATGTTGTATTAGAAGTACTTAGATTATACAGGGGCATGTATTAAAAAAAATGTATTACACTGCGACAGCCCAACTTAGAAGGAAACTAGAAGATGAACACACCGACCGATGTAGTTGTTCCTCAATTTCTAGCACACTGATATATAATAGTTGCAGGCACATTTTGTTCTCCTTAACTTTTCTCAGCTGAACCATCAGAAATCAGGTTTTAAAGATGAGTTTGGCAAAAGAATCATGATACCTTGACTAATTTGCATGTCAAGTACATGAAGAATATCCAGTGCTAAGAATTCATCCCTTCAAAAAAAATGTTCTATGCCAGCGGGATAGCTCGACCTTGTTCTCTGCTTACCACATTTTCGTTGCAAGCCTGTATATGTGGCAGTATGAGAATCAAATATAGGTAGGTGCGAGTGTACCATGGATGATCTATGAAGCTCACACAGGTCTACCATTCCCGTCAACTTCGCCAACGTTTCCTACCAGGAAAGCAACATGGATGTGTGATCTTCCGTCATGATTTTTCTTGGAGGCATGTCAAGAGGGCCTTCGGCCAACCCCGCCGAAACAGCTTACCCAGCCTTGAGGCGAAGCACCGAAGAAGCAAAGCATCAAGCTGAGGGCGAAGCTCAGACTCCCCGCTGAGGGGGCGCAGCGAAGAACCTCTGCCATTAGGCGAAGCAAGTCGATGCCTAGCTGGACCGATCTATAGAGACCTGACGGTGGTTAGATGGGTTGATTGTCTATAATTACCCTTGTAAACGTCTCTATCGTAAGCGCGGTCATGTAAATTGCCTAATACATGGGAGACATAGGGCTGTATAAACTTGCACTGTAAAAACTATAAGTAGACCCCAAGGGGATCCGTAATTTTGAAGATTAATACACTTTATTTACTTTTCCACAATTTTTAGTGAAGCCTGACAGAGCGCTGCTGTCAATCGCCAACCATGTTGATTCTAAACTGTGGCACACGTGCTGCAAGCTGCTCCTGCCCCCAAATCCTTTAGTTTGTTCACGACAAGGGTGTTCTAAGGTACCTAGATGTCTCATGTTCCTCATAACTATTCTAAGGTACCTAGAAGCACTGTATTATACGCCATTTAAAACTGGCTTGTTCAGCTTGCCTCACTTCCTTTCTTGTAATCTCAAGGTTAGTTCTGCTGCTCGGCAATGAGACGTGTATCGTATGTGCCATGCATCCTTCATCCAGTTAGTAGTCTGAGAGAGCAGTGTCGCGCGCATGCTATTTCTCCAGATCAACCTGACCGCAGCCTGTCCGAAGGAGGCCATCATAACGAGCATGAAGAGGAATCACCACATTTTGTGTGGAATCCTCAGGCCAGCTTCCGGTGATACGCACACCAGTGCGCCGACAGTGGACTGATCACTATCAGCCATGTTCTGAATTCTCAGCGTGCGAGTAGAGGAGGAAGTCCAGGAATCAATGGACGAGGTGTCCATGGATGAAGGCTGGAGATTGGACTCTTTGCGTAGTGCATCCCAAATCCATCATGCCTTCCATTCCCAGAAGCTAGACAGACGTGCAAGTGTAAAATGGATGTTTCAGTTTTTTTGCTCTGCACCTTGCACTTCTAGCTTACTCGATCTTAAGCCAGTAGCTGTTGCCGGATAGGAGTAAAACTTGTTGTGCAAATTAATTTATCCGGTTCCTTCAGCTGGCCTCCACATTTAAAAGCTAGTAGATTGTGTAATGGTGCATCCGCTGTGGCTTTGTAATCTGCAATCAAGCTGCTGAATCTGGACGGCTTAAATGTAAAACTGGCATGAAATTAAAATGGTAAATAAAATCGATCGGCCATAAATGACACAAGAAAAGTAAACCAGATTTTCGAGGACTATGTGAATGAAATATAATGTCAGCTATTAAAGACTTTAACGTCCATGTGGGCTCTGCTTTAAATATTTTCATAATAATACATCTATACTAGAAGCACTGTCATGTTATATGCGCAAGTTTAATAGTTGAGCTAACTATCGGCTATAAGCTCATCTAATACTAGAAGAGTACCGCGTGGATCGCTGCAGAAGTATGTGACAAAATAACAGATATGAGTTGTAAAGTTTTATATCGTACTATACGATTTTTCTTTATATGCTTATATATTTAGTAACTTGATCATTATTCAAATGATTAGTTGTATAGTGTAGCTTTTGAGGGATAAAAGATATAATTTGTACCCTTGATGAATAATGCAAAGGCTAAAAATAATTGAGATGGTGTGGCTTCACGAGAGAAAAGAAAATTAACATTAATTACATTTAGTAGAGACAAACTTTATAAATATATAGGATTAGCACAATAAACATGTATAGTGGATTAGTTATAATGTCATCTCTACTTTTTTTCGCTTATCAATTTAATGTATTTCTCTTGAGCATGTACAAAGGACTCTTGGATAAGAGCTAGCAGTATTTGCTCTAAGGAGGATATGCCACAAGGAGATATGGGAAAGCGCTTTCAGGAGATTCATAACTAGAAATAATGAAATGTGCCACTGAACTTGTTAATTTCGATATTTCATTAACGTTCCCTGTTCTCACAAATTAGAAACTTTCAACTAAGAGCTTTTTTACGGTCCTGCAGGGAGGCACGGTACCTTGTGGTACGAAATCTGGGCCGTCCATTCGAGAGGATCGAATGGTCTGTAAATGAGGGTACCGCGAGGTACCGTGGTTGATTGTGAGCCGTACCACGAGTTGGTGGAGACGTGGAAGGGCAAATGCGTAACTTCGCATATCATGAGAGATCGATTCGGTTTGAGGCAGGAGAAATCCTAGGGCTCTCTTTCTGATCCGATCTGAAGCCGAGCGTTGCAGCAGCGATTCGTTTTGTTCTTGGCGCAGGTTGTCCGGCAAAGCCAAGGGCGGTGTGCTTGGCGGAGCTTCTCCGGCGAAGTCCAGGGCGACGCCGGTGGCACGGCGAAGGGAGAGACGACGGTGCCGTGGCGCGGCGCAACGAAGATAGAGAGACGCCGGCGCCGTGCAAGGCGATGCGAAGACGGAGAGGACGCTGGCGCCATGCAAGGCAATTCGAAAGAGACGAGATGAGGATGAGCTGCGGGGAAGGAACGGAGAGGATAAACCCTTGCGGCGCCGCTCGATTTTCGTCCTCCAACCACGCGCGCAACACATTTCCCATCTTGCCCACCGATTGAATTCGCTCTGGTACCGTGCGGTACCAGTACCGAGCGGTACTTTCTGCCGGACCATAGCAACGCTCTTCAACTAAATACTACTACTCTATACAATCAGTACTTGTTTCTAAGATGACAAAAATAAAACTATTCATTTGACAACTTTGTCACGTGATTGCTCAATATTTCGTCATTGCAAAGATAATATATATACTGTCCAATCATTAATGATGAACAAACTTTTTTTAACATCGTATTGGAGTTGGCCGAGATAATGCAAACTTTATAATTTAATCCTTGCACCCATGTTCAATGTAAACCAGTTTTTCTGCAATTCGAGGCAGGTCTACAGCACCAGGTCAGCAGCAGTCCGAGCTATCCTTATTAGAGTATTAGAATATCCCGTGGTTAGGTTCTTATGGTAATGACAGATTGATACTGGACAGATCATGAAGTTCCAACGTCTCAATCTCCAGATGCAGGAGCTGCCCACACTGGGTGATGGCTCGAGACCAGAGACCTCCAGAGTGCATCTCAAGTCACACATGCCTACCATTCCAAGAAGGTATATGCAAGAGCGTACGTTCCATTGTTGCTCGTTGCGGAATGGTGAATGAAACCGGGTATAAATAATGGTAAACGGAAGACATAGTAGATTTTGAAGTCCTATTTGAACGAAATGTAATATCACTACTACGAAAATGATCTTTGCATGCGGCCAACCTGTTTCCGCAGGCAGGAGGAGCACACGTCTAGAGCCAGATGTCTGCAAAAATTGGTATTTTTTGAGTGGGGGCATCACAACTGCATGTGAAAAACCATTTTTGTAGACAGGCATCCTAAGGAAGCCGCTTGCAACATTTTTTTTAGAAAAAAATAGAATAAGTCTAATACCCTAGGTCGCACGCAGTTGTTGGGTGCCGCCACCGTAGCCTATGAGCCAGCCGCCACCATTGCCGTGATTGCCGCACCACCTTTCCACCTCCTCTCTCTATGGCGTGCAAGGGTGGATCCACCGCTCCCAAGGCCACTGGAGGCGGATCCGCCCTTCCTAAGCTCTTCGGCTGTGGATCCGCCGCTGATACGGTTGCCATTGCCGTCTGAGGCCATTGACACCGCCGCACCGCCACATAGAGAGAGTGTGGGAGAGAGTAGAGGGTGGGGAAGATATGGGGCACGGGGATGGGGGGAGAGAGTAGGGTGGGGGTATTGAGGGGACCGTGGGAGAGAGCATGTTGGCGGAGTGATGAGTGGCAGAGAGAGAAAGGAGGGAGTGTGATTGAAATGGTGAGTTGTGGAAGTGTGGGCACACGGTTTTGGGGGGAAAATAATGAAGGGTGGACGGCCGTTACGCTCCACTGACAAAAAATCATTTTGGCAGGTTGTCGAAACAAGATTTCGGCAATACTAAAAGGGATGGCTATCAAGCTGGAAAAGTGGATGGGTTTAGAGACAAGGAATTTTTATACAGGTTCAGGCCTTCTAAATTAAGAAGTAATACCCTACTCCTGTTCGGAGATTGTCCGCCGAGTGTATTATTGATCGTATGATCTGGGAGAAAATCGTGCCCCTAGAGGCACCCAGACCCCTCCTTGTATAGCGGAAGTGGTCCGTATTACAAAATACAGTCTATATCCCTAATGGAATATGTAGTTACAGATAAAATACAATCGTAACCGACTAGGATCTCAGATATTTCCTTGACATACAAGTTTAGATTTTAACCCAAGTCCTCTTTAAGATATTCTATCTATACATGGCACCCCATACCCAGTTGGACTATACATGCCGTGTAGGTATGGGGTATCCATAATCTCCACAGTAGCCCCTGAAACCTTTAAAGTCGACGAGATAACCTTCTCTCAGAACGTAAAATGATAATCCGAGTGCTTCAATTTCTTCTGTATTGATCTCCCGAGTACCAAAATTAAAGACTGTGAAGGGCTGAAAATAGAAAAAATCGGGTGCATCGACAAGATGCACCTAATTAGGTGTAGCCCCCGACTATGTTATTAGTTAAAAACTAAACATATAGTCAAGGTGTCAATAACATCCATCCAACTGCTTTAGCCGTAATATACCAAAAATGAAGATATAAAGAGGCCCGAGTAGAAAATACTCTAACGGTCCATAGATCAACACATAAGACAAAAATCCGAGTAAAAACTCAAAAAGATCCATCAAATGTGGTATAAATGTGATATCATGAAAATTGACGAGTCTAAATAGCCTAGACTATAACTCACGCCATAATCAAAATAAGCATATAACATGCCGAGAGAATAACTATTCAAAAACCAGTCATCTCAATAAAACCCGAACAGCTTTTGCAGCCTAAAAAGACTTACAAAACTAGTATAACACTTTTCTGTTGGGCACCTTTTTATTTGCATCGTAGTAATTCCAAAGAATTATCTAACTGCGTCAAAAAGGATTTTAACAGCATTAGGCTAAACTGTCGTGAGCAAGTGTTTTTCCATGGCCAAAAGTATTTTTCCATGCCCTTCAAAACCTCAAACAAAGGCTGGCATGCAAATTGGTTCTATCTACAAAACCCCGAGCCTGCGCTCCCCGAATACTCCTGTCTTCTCCGGTTTATCACGACACTTGGAACTCACTTCCAATGGGAGAGGAAGCAGCCCAGGCACTTGTCCTGATGGATCGCATGCTGAAGCTGAAAGAGCAAGGTCTGCAAGGAGAACAGATCACCCGGCATTTTATCAAGAGCCGGCTAGCTCTAATTAAAGAGAGATCCCGTACAGCCTTTGAATTTGACGGCAAGCATGACCCAAACCGTGAAGATCCATACCCTCTTGATTTTAAGGTCATAAAGGAGAGAATGTACAAAATCTTCTCAAACGCTATCGTGGTCAGTTATTCGCATTTGCTGCCAGTGGTGCCATATAACGCCTTCAATCCTCCTCCACCGGTATGTATTCAAACATTTCATCCTTTCTCAAAAGTATGCCTTTATCTTCTGTTAAGCTAATTGAAAGTTTGAAATATCATGCCCAGGAATTTGCTTTGATGAAGTCGGATCCTCCAACCGCTTAACGCCGATCACCCCGCCGGCAAGCTGGTCAGGCGAGTGGAGGACCAAAAATTCGGTCTGATACTCAACCAAACACCTCGAAATCAACTAGCCAGTCAGACTCTCGTAAGAGGAAATTGGTTCTGAGTGATGATGAGGGCGACGATGCTGAGAAGACTAGCAACAAAGAAGCGACTGGAAAACTACCAAGGCAAACTAATCCGAAGAAGAAAACTTCCAGTCGTCCTATGCCAAAAATCAGAAAATCTTCCAGGTACAAATCATATGGCCATCTTCTTTGTATTGCTACTCACCCACTATTGAAATAGCGTTGATAGCATAACTCAAACTCGTAGGAAAGGACGCTGAATTGACAAATGTGGAGACGGATTCTTCAAAAGGAACCGGGCCGACTGTAGAAAATCGCCCGAGTGACAACTAGCCGGCAACCGACAATGTAGAAATCAATAACTTGCCGAAGCTGGAGCCAATGCTGATCAGAAGCCCCCGACTAGAAACCAGTCGGGTACAGAACCAAATAAGGATATTCCTGAAGTAGAAGCTCAAGCCGCCAGCCCTCCTAAAAAGGATGCCAGTGCCGATCCAGGGTCCAGCTCTCCTGTTAAAGTACAAGGACGTACTTGTTCCCGACCGGAAATTATCACAGGTAAAAACATCCTCCAAACCCATCTTGATCCAACAAACTTTCTTCAACTACCTCACTCATTATCCATAACCATGTAAGGTCCGATGACCGGTGATGAGGAAGAGGTTCTTCGGATACAATCAGCTGAGGATTCTCGCCCACCCATTCTAGTCAAGTGGTGGGATGATGACATGCAACCTCAGGGAATTGTGGTAAACAAGCAAAAGGAAGACGAGAAAGTATGCCTGCTGAAAAAGGCACTCGGCCAAGCTACTCGCATTGTAAATGTAAGTCTCCTTATACACAGCTTCAACAATCTTGTTTGCCACTTTGCTCAAATGCCGATAAATTCGCATTGCAGAGAATCCATTTCAGGAACGAGGCGAAGACTGCGACTCTTGAGAGGTTAGTTCCCCATCTTGGAACCCTTGAGGCCACCAGAAACCAGCTGCACGAAGCTAAGGAGCTTGCAAGGAAAACTGAGCATGATCTGAGGGATCGGATCGCCGAGCTTCAAGACTCCAACTTCGAACTGAGCGGTTCGTCAAAAGGTAATACAATCTCCGTCTAACTTACTTATGCTGCCATGCATGTGATATCAACCAACAAGAAGCAATGCAGTGCAAGCTGCCAAGATATCCGAGCTGGAAAAGTGGATCCAAGCTCTGGAGAATGACAAGACCGAATTGGCAAGACAAAGGGATTCGGCTCTAAAAGATGTTGAAGGTACGGGTAACCCATATTGCAAAAATCATTCCTTTCTTTATGCCCACTCGTTAATGTAAATCTATTTGTGTAGATTGCAAGATTAAATCTAAGGCTCAATTTGATGTCTTGGTCAATAAAATCAAGAGGCTTGAAGGGCTAGGGATGAAGTCGCCAACGCTGCTACCCCACTCGTCCAAGCCATGTTCTTCAATAACAATGGTCCGAGAACATTTGATGCTTCCGAAATCTTCGACTAGCTGAGAATTGCTCCGGATACATACTTTAAGAATATCAAGGAAGCTGGAAGTATGGGAGCAAGCCTGGCATTGGCAATGACCAAGTCTTTATACCCGAAGATTGACATTGACGCCATTGATGGCTTTGTAGACGGGACGAGCGAAGAGGCCGCCCTTGACCTCATCAACGATGCGTAGAAAGCCGCCGATAAGATAGCCATTGATACAGTTGAGAGATTCCAGGATAACGACCTTCGGCCGACTGGATCTGATAATTCCGATGATGAAAAAACTGATACTGATTGATAACAATGATTATGATGATGATGATGATGATGATGGAGGCACAATTTGTACAGTACTGATGAATTTATGCTGTGCCTGATATTTCAAACTTAGCTCCTGATTTCTTAATAGCTTTTTTCAAACCTTATTGAGCCTAAAACCTGCAAAAGTTATTAAAAAACTTTCAGTCCTCGTTGACTAAGCCAAAAAATCAAGCAAGGCAATGATAAATCAAGTAAGCAAATTGAATTGATAAAAATCACACTCCATTATTATTATAGTAGCCCCCGATTGGTAACTCAAGGAATAACTTGATGTTGGCAGTCAAAGAGGGAAATATAAAAGTAATGCCTAACCATAAAATCGACGAAGATGTTCGATATTCCAAGAGTTGTCGATAGGAGTACCGTCTTCACGCTTGAGTCGGTAAGAACCTGGCCGAGTGACTTCAGAAATTATGAATGGTCCTTCCCATAAGGGAGATAACTTGTGGCGATCCCGTGTAGTCTGAATTCTTCTCAGAACCAGGTCGCCGACTAAAAAGGCTCGTGATCGAACATTGCGATTGTGATAACGGCTCATCCCTTGCAAATACCGAGCCGACTGAATTAAGGCTGCTTCACGGGCATCTTCCAGTCGGTTGAGGTCATCTACTCGGTCTTCTCCGTAGCGCTCCTCGCTGAAGTTACGAAATCGTAGAGATTCAAATTCCACCTCACTTGGCAACATTGCTTCCGCTCCATAGACCAGGAAAAACGGCGACTGGCCCGTAGCCCGACTGGGAGTGGTGCGCAGGGACAAGAGTACAGACGGTAGCTATTCTACCCACTTGCCGGCATAGGGATGCAGCCGGTCGAAAACTCGTGCTTTTATTCCTTAGAGTACCATACCATTGGCACGTTCAACTTGTCCATTGCTCATGGGGTGCGCTACGGAGGCATAACAAATTTTAATGCCGAAGTCTTCACAAAAGTCTTTAAATATTCCGCCGGTGAATTGAGTTCCGTTATCATTGATGATCTGATTAGGTACCCCAAACCGGTGCACAATGTTGATGAAAAAATCTCTAGCCTTGTCTGCCTTGATTGTAATGACTGGTTTGGCTTCGATCCACTTGGAAAATTTGTCAACGGCTACAAAGAGATGAGTATAACCACCGACAACCTTCTTAAACGGGCCGACCATGTCGAGCCCCCAAACCGCGAACGGCCAAGACAACAGGATGGTTTGCAACTCCTGAGCTGGCAGATGAGTTTGTCG